TGTATGTATGTAATTATAATACCTACGATATCAACTGTTTATTTTTTATTTTAGAAATGAATATCTTAAACTATTTATTCAATTCAAATAAATTAGTATTTTAATAAATCAGTTAAATTATTTAAATAAAACATGTTTTAATTACTGTTAGATCTTAACTTTTAAACTATTTAAATGAGTTTTAATTTTATAGCATATCCATGAATTTGAAAAAATTCAGAGAACAAATTAGTAAGTCTATTATAATTACTTATCCAAAATGAATACAATATTTAACTTACTCATTGATTGTGTTTGTAATATCTTGTTGTATACTTTCTAATGTGCTATTAGGCTTGTTCATGCACATATTCATGATTTCGATAACTTTCTTTTTGAAACTAACGACAAAAATCTGCAAATTATTTGATTAGAAACAGATATTGATATAAAAACATCAAAAATATTCAATAGATTTAATTACATCTTCTTGTTGTACTATCCTGTTGTATATAAGCGCATACCACTTTTCAGCGGTCATATTCTCCATATCAAGTAGAGCCGGGTCGAATGACGGTGCAGGCAGGTGGTCCATTGTTTCCTATATGAACATAGGTTGGAGTCGCGAATCTGCAAACCACGTTACCGAAGTACGGAATGTTAATACCCTCGCATCCGACAACACCAGTGATTATTGATCACTGGTGCCCGCGGATTGTGAGTTTCTCGTGGCCCGCTTCAAACGACGGTCAACAAGTAAGATAAGGAAAAGATTGGGCATCTTCCGGAAATCGGATAGCACGCGTGGATCGAAAATCGATTCTATAAGTCGGCCACTGGGATTCAGACATTAAGTGACCACATGGAATCGGATGTAAAAGCGAAATTTCGACTTAAAGACGGCCACGCGGAAACGGACGGAACGAGGATTACGGGGACCGGACGATCGATGTTCTGGACGTGAGTGGCCATCGGGTCATAGAGCGTACTTACCGAAATACAAGGCGTCTGGGACACTTGACGAGTTGCAGATGTAACGTGTACGTCGTCGTCGATGAGTGGAGAGTGCTGTTCGGCTGCGACGGTCGGGTGGCCTTTTCCCTGTGGTCACAGATTTGAGTCGTTAATCGTTATCCGCGTACGTCCGGGCCGTTATCACTCCGACAACAGTTGTACAAAATAAATAATAATAATATTGTGTTTGTTTGTCGTATCGATATGAACGTGATAACGTGGTGGCAGAAGGACGTGGACGATATTATGGACAGGCAATTCCGATCTCCGACTGCGGGCGTGGACGGACGGATGGACGATAGACAGCACGTCGTAAAGGAATACAATCGGGAAGGATGATGTTATTATACTGACGCAGATTACATACAACTTTAATCTGTGATATAAACACAAAATCAAAAGATTTTGGGTAAAAAGAGCTGATAGCGTAAAGAGCGTTGTGTGTACGACATAGGCGTAGGTACGCCTGCCTACCGCATTAAAAATGTATTGAAAAAACAAATATTTTCTATTATTTTCAAACTTTGCCTAAAATATTTATTTATGAGAAGCAGTTTTTGTTTTTATAGTTTGAAAAAATGGTCGTTTCACGTTTCAATACATTTTGAATAATTGATAATGTTATTCCATAAAAAACTGTATGTCTATAGAAGTATTAGAAGTCTACCATTATTTTCTATATAATAATAATWATTATTATTGCTGCTACTGCAATACCGTCACGTCGTCGTCTTTGTCGATATAAAACAAAATTAAAGCGACACTGCTTAATCAGCTGATAGGTTTGTTTACATTTTGTTGGGCTCTGAAAGTATATATCTGTGTTTTGTAATCGTGACTTCGTGAGCTCCAGGTGATGTTTTCATCAACATGAATATATAATGCATTGAATATTGATTTTCTRTCTATATTAAATTAAATCCGTAATGTACCAATGTGGTAGTAGGTATTAAAGAAAAAATACGCAAAGAGCCTATATATAATTTGATATATATATGAGGGTTACACGGTGTGGATGTGCGTATTTAATGTCGTTCTCAATTCTATTAAGAAATATCTATACAGACATTATATGATTATAATTTATATTATACAGACACGCAGTGTCAAACAACAAAATGTTTATGTATACATTTAAACCCCTTTTAATAAATTGTATTCAATAATCAGGCTGGCTCGTCTTTTGTATTCTGGCTTTGTGTGTTTAGTCGCCCACTCTGAAGGCTCGATATRCAAAAACTGTTGGTTAGCCTATAATCATACTACTCCATTCCCTAAATCCTTTTAGTGCTTAAAAAGTTATATTTATAATATATGTAAGTATATTACAGGCAGTTCTAGACCATAGCTACATTGATTCAGAATTTTCAAGATATACAAAAGAATTTTACATACAATCATAAGTTTATTGAGACGACACTTTCTGACAAATTCAATATAATGTTCTGCATATCAAAATCCATAGCCTTGTTGCACTCAATTTATCCTCAGAAGGCTAAGAAGTAGTCAAAAGAAAAAATAGTCAATCTTCAAATCCAGATATTGCTAGACTATATAAAATATTTAGAGACACATCAATCTAATTGATAGAGAGTAAGTAATTTAACTCAGCATTAACTCTAAATTTCAAACATTATTAGTTAATTGATTCTTCAGTTATAATTAGAGAGTGGATTTTTTGGTTTTTACATATATTTTTGGCTTTATGCAGCTCATTTAGCAGTAATTAATCTGAACAACTTACTCAGTACATAATTCGTAGAAAAAATTAATTTTGTATAGATATTATAGGATGATCATTCAGCCTACAATATTTCATATTTAGGAATATGTTGTATTATTTATTTATAAAAAGTAATATTTATTCATTTTTCGCCACATATTTGTTCATGCATATGTGTAGCAAATTTTACGTTTACAATAATAATTATAACCAAAATATATATATTTTTTTAAAGTGAAATGAACTTTTATAAAATTTAAAAGTAAGATTATTATCTATAGTATACCATAAGTTTTTAATATATTTTAATTTTAAAGCGAGTATGGGTATTCTAAAATTGTTAATTGTTTTTACATCTTAAAATCGCTTTAAAATTAAAATTAGAATAAATCTTATGATAATGCTATGTTGCATAGATCAGAGAGAAAAAAATGCTCTGACATCTTCCTATTAATATCTCATTAATTAGGTATGCTACAACCTTTTTATATAGAAGACTACTGTTTGAAAAATAAAAACAATAATACTTTAAACCAATAATTCAGTTTTATTGATTAATTAATTAATTATGTTTGATTTATTTTAATGAATGAAATATACTAATTCTGGAAAACAAATGCTTAATAATTATTACCATGGTAAAAATCACCCAAAGTTTAACTTTGTACGACTCTAGAGATCAACGTTTAAAATATTTATGCAGTTTGACCAAAACCTATGATTTGCCACTGAAAAACTACAAAGTATACTCAGTATTTAAGAGCTTTGAAGAGTTCCTTGCCTAAACTGAACATACAATTTAAGAAGAAAAAATTTCTTGATATCCTCAATTATATAGTCACAATAATATTAAAAAATACGAATATTATTATTTATGTATACTTTGAGCGCATTCTGTACTAACTAGTTTAAAGTATGGATCATACAACATTTTTAATCGCCCTGTGAATATTATGAATGATGAAGGTTAGGTTCATATTATATATGAATTTTGCATTTGCTTAGATATAAAAAATTGGGATTGAATTGGGATTTAAACATATTAGATCAAAGTTGAGAAATAATTTACATTTGGGTATATATCATTATAGTCATCAGTAGTTGCTACTCTATAAGTTCAGTTGTATTATGCATATTATGTTGCTAATAGACAGAGAGTAGATCTTTAGGTTTTACATATTACTTTTATTGGCTTTATGCAACTCTATGAGGGTGACAAATGTGGATAATTTATCTATCACAGAGTTCGTAAAAAATTTTATTTTCCATACTAAAGCAAATTTTAGATATAAAAGAATGTTCAGCCTATTTTTATATTTTAGAATATATTTTTATTTTTTTATTGATTAAATAAAACTCGGSAGCTACATGGCCATTAGTTACAATAAATTATGGTAGGTTTACAAAATTTAAGATTTTAACAATTTTTTTTTAATAGGTATTTGGCGTAAAAGTATAGTTTCTTAATATTTATATAAAAAGGAAAGAAACAAAAAAAAAAAAGAAGGAAAACATTTGTAAATTATTAAATTAAGCTATAGAGCCTGTCGGCTGTTGACTTMAAAAAAAATATAATTTTAATGTTCTCCACATCATTGGGTTCCAATGCGAAGTCGAGGGTCATATAGTTTTTTCGTTCTTGTTGATATTTTAGGCTTTCTGTTATGAACTATTCTGTAACTGATATTTGGACACCGCAGACTTCACACAAGGGGGTTCTTCCTTAGCCATTAGGTGCCTATGTGTAAGTTGCGTGTGTCCTATTCTCAATCTGTTAAGTACCGATTCTTCTTTTCTGTTTAAAGAGCTGTTTATCCACCTGAAGGTACTACTTTTAATTCTGTTAATAAGTTTAGTGTTTTGTTGTTTCCATGTATTGAGTCATCTGGTGTTGGTTATATCATTTATGTATCTTTTAAGGTCATTCCCACACAGCACTGTACATCCAGTGGATATACATTGGTTATGTCAAATAACCATATAATGTCTTATCCAAAAATTACTTCAGATGGATATCCACTAGATATATTAAAAAACCATGCAATATTTTATCCAATTACAGGTTTCTGCTGGATATTTCAAATTCCCATACAATATCTTATCCAAAATTGATGCTYATATGGACATCATCAAATATTATATAATATGATAATATATAATTAATTATAATATTATATATTATTTATGCATTTTTAACGTATGAATGTGGGTTGAAGGGGCTTAATATATTTATATTACCATAATAAAATAAGGAAACAGATCCTGCGCAGCGCGTCGTCATCAGTTCAAAACTGAAAAAGGGTATATATATATATATATTCTGTGAAACCTCCCTTATTAACGGACACCTCTAAATAGCGGACAAAATAATGTTGGTACTCGAGATAGTGCATGAATAGACACAATAAATTTTCAAAAACGAGAATTTGATAATTAAATAATATATTATTAATAATAATACAATTGTAGGTGGGTCCAAAAATAGTTTTACATACSGAGCTTATGATTGCGAGCTTAGCATGTTAATCAGCTAGTTCATTTCCTTCAATGGCGATGTACCCGGGAACCCTAGAATATATTATTGTTCATAWAAAAAATCATAAATTTTGTTAATTTCTGGAGTTGTGATTTTTTTCTAGCAACAATATTTTCTCTTCCAAAAAAATAATTTGTTTTAAGGATAATAAAAATTAAGAATCATTCAATTATTAAAATTTTTATATGTATTTAAATAATTATTTACTTATCACCAAAAGAATGGCACATAAGAGTTTATTATTAATAAATCACATCTTTATTATTTTTTATATTAAATTAAATATTTTTTTCATAAAAAATATCAAATTTTTCTAGTGATAAACAACTATGCAAATGATTTACAGTGTATTTTAATTTTGAAAATAAGTTTTGTAACAAACTTGAGTGCATGATAGCCAATAGAGTTAAAATAAATTTAACTGCTAAGTATAAATTTGCATATACCATCGAGTTTAAGTTATATTTTGTTAATACACCAAAATAATTTATTATAACATCTTGAGTTTTTAACAATTTTTCAAACTTGAAATGAAAGTTTATTTTTATTGTTAATGATCGAAAATGTTTTGTATTTTTTGTATTATTGTTCTTTGTTTTCATTTTCATTTATTATATTTTTCATATTTTGCCATTTTGCAGCTAAGTTCATAAATTTTAGTTCATCCCTTAATATACCAACAGTTATATTTCTGTATTAAATTTTACTAAAATATTAAATTATATGCAATTGCAAGTTGATTTGAATTAGCAATAGTCACAAAGATTGTTAAATCCATGATGCCGATTAATTTAAATAATTTTTCAAGTTTTGAAAATTTTTCCTCCAAACCATTCYTTACTGTATCATAAATTACATAAAATATATTTATTATGTAACTATCTTTTTGATTTTCAATTGGATCATCATACAGTATTTTTACATCCGTGGCTTTTTTTATTTTACTCTGCAATTTGAAATATTAGAGAAACATTTTAATCTAAATCACTTTATTTATTAGTATTTGTTCCTAACTACCGAATAGTACATTGTATCCAATATGTCAATACGTCTGAAGTCGGATTAACTAAAAATTACAATATATATGGTTATAACTGACTCACTGACCAATCAGCATGGAGCCTAAAAAATAGCTTAAGGCTTGCAATAAATAGATTATTGTTCCTAAGTGAAAACTAATAAGTCAGTTGTATTA